GAGCAGGAACACGGGGAGGAGGAACACATGGAGGAGGAGCAGGAGCACAGGGAGCAGCACAAGGGGTGGGAGGAGCACAGGGGGCATGGGGATGGAGCATAGGGAGGAGGAGCATAGGGAGGTGGAGCATGGGAGGAGGAGGAACATAGTGGGAGATGGAGCATAGGAAGGGTGGAGCATGGGAGATGAAGCATGGGAGGAGGAGGGCATAGGGAGATGAAGCATAGGAGGAGCATAGTGAGATGGAGCATAGGAAGAGGTGGAGCATGAGGGGGATGGGCATGGGGAGATGAAGCATAGGAGGGAGGGCATGGTGAGATGGAGCATGGGAAGGGTGGAGTGCATGGGAGATGAGCATGGGGAGGGCATAGTGGAGATGGGCATGGGAAGGTGGAGCATGAGGGAGGAGCAAGGGGATATGGCTTAGGAGGCATAGAGATGAAGCATGGGAGGAGGCATAGTGGCAGATGGAGCATGGGGAAAGGAGAAGCACAGGGGAGCAGGAACACGGGAGGAGGGCCACAGGGGAGGAGGAAAACAGGGAAAAGGCATTCCTCCTCCCCTGTGCTCCCACCTCCTGTGTGGTCCTCCTCCCCCCTGTCTACTCCTCCCTGCTCCTCACCCTATGTCTCCTCCTTGGTCCTCCTCCACCCTTGCTACTCCTCACCCTGTAGCTCTCCTCCCGCCTGCTCCCCCTCACCTTGTCTCCTCCTTTCCTCCTCCTCCTCCCACCGTGTGGTCTCACTCCTGGCTACTCCCTCACCCTGTGCTCCTCCCACCTGTGCTCCTCCTCCCTTGCTCCTCAGCTTCCTGTGCTCCTTCCTGGCTCCTCCCTGTCCTCTACCCTGTGCTCCTCCTGTGCTCCTCCTCAACCTGTGCTCCTCCCCACCCCTACTCCTCTCCTGTGCTCCTCCCCATGCTCCTCTGTGCTCCTCCTGTGCTCCTCCTTCCCTGTGCTTCTCCTTCACCTGTGCTCCTCCTCCCCTGTGCTCCTCAACCCTGTGCTCCTCCTCCCCTGTGCTCCTCCTTTGTGCTCCTCCCTCCCCTGTGTCCTCCTCCACCCTCTGCTCCTCCCACCCTGTGCTCCTCCTCACCCCTGTGTCCTCCTCCTGTGCTCCTCCTCCCCCTGTGCTCCTCCTCAACCCCTGTCCTCCCACCCACGCTCCTCCTACCCCTGTGTCCTCAACCCTGGTCCTACCCTGTGCTCCTCCTCACCCTGTGCTCCTACCTGTGCTCCTCCCCCCTGTGCTCCTCCCTCCCACCCTGTGCTCTCCTCCCCTGTGCTCTTCCCTCCCACCCTGTGCTCCTCCTCCCCTGTGCTCCTCCTCACCCTGTGCTCCTCCTCCCCCTGTGCTCCTCCTTCCCTGTGCTCCTCCCTCCCCTGTGCTCCTCCTCACCCCTGTGCTCCTCCCTCCACCCTGTGCTCCTCCTCCCCCTGTGCTCCTCCTCCCCTGTGCTCCTCCTCCGTCCTCTCCTCTGTCCTCCTCAACCCTGTGCTCCTCCTCCCCTGTGCTCCTCCTCCACCCTGTGCTCCTCCTGTGCTCCTCCTTCCCCTGTGCTCCTCCTCCTGTGCTCCTCTCAACCTGTGCTCCTCCCCCTGTGTCCTCCTCCCCCTGTGCTCCTCCTTCCCTGTGCTCCTCTGTGCTCCTCCTCAACCCTGTGCTCCTCCTCCCCTGTGCTCCCCTACCCTGTGCTCCTCCCTCCTCCTGTGCTCCTCCTTCCCCATGTGCTCCTCCTCCCCTGTGCTCCTCCTCTGTGCTCTCCTCAACCTGTGCTCCTCAACCCTGTGCTCCTCCTCACCTGTGCTCCTCCTCTGTGCTCCTCCTTCACCCTGTGCTCCTCCTCCCCTTGCTCCTCCTCAACCCCTGCTCCTCCCTCCCCTGTGCTCCTCCTCCACCCCTGTGCTCCTCCTCCCTGTGCTCCCTCCTCAACCCTGTGCTCCTCCTCCCCTGTGCTCCCCTCCCTCCACCCCTGTGGTCCTCCTCCTGTGCTACTCCTTCACCCTGTGCTCCTCTACCCTGTGCTCCTACCCCTGTGCTCCTCCTGTGCTCCCCCAACCTGTGCTCCTCCTCCCTATGCTCCTCCTCCTGTGCCTTCCTGTGCTCCTCCTCCAGCCCTGTGCTCCTCCTCCTATGCTCCTCCTCCTGTGCTACACCTTCACCCTGTGCTCCTCCTCCCCCTGTGCTACTCCTTCACCCTGTGCTCCTCCTACCTGTGCTCCTCCTACCCCTGTGCTCCTCCTCCCCCTGTGCTCCTCAACCTGTGCTCCTCCTCCCTGCTCCTCCTCCTCCTATGCTCCTCCTCCTCCTGTGCTCCTTCCCTGTGCTCCACCTTGTGCTCCTGTCCTCCTCCTCCTGTGCTACTTCACCCTGTGCTCCTCCTCCCACCCTGTGTCCTCCCCCATGTGCTACTCCTTCACCTGTGCTCCTCCTCCACCCTGTGCTCCTCCTCCCCTGTCTACTCCCCCCCACCCTGTGTCCTCCTTCCCTGTGTCCTCCTCCCCTGTGCTCCTCCTTCCTGTGCTCCTCCTTCACCCTGTGCTCCTCCCCTGTGCTACTCCTTCACCCTGTGCTCCCTCCACCTGTGCTCCTCCTACCCCTGTTCCTCCTCCCCTGTGCTCCTCCTCAACCTTGCTCCTCTATGCTCCTCCTCCTCCTGTGCTCCTTCCCTGTGCTCCTCCTCCTCCTGTGCTCCTCCCCTCCAGCCTGTGCTACTCCTTCACCCTGTGCTCCTCCCTACCCCTGTGCTCCTCCTACCTGTGCTCCTCCCTCCCCTGTGCTCCTCCTCAGCCCTGTGCTCCTCCTCCTATGCTCCTCCTCTATGCTCCTCCTCCTCCTGTGCTCCTTCCTCCTCCCAACCCTGTGCTCCTCCTATGCTCCTCCTCCTCCCTATGCTCCCTCCCTACTCCCTGTCCTCCTCCTCCCTGTGCTCCTCCCCTGTGCTCCTCCTCAACCCTGTGCTCCTCCTTCCCTGTGCTCCTCCTTCCCCTGTGCTCCTCCTTCACCCTGTGGTCTCCTCAACCTGTGCTCCTCCTCACCTGTGCTACACCTTCACCCTGTGCTACTCCTTCCCCTGTGGTCCTCCTCAACCCTGTGCTCCTCCTTCCCCTGTGCTCCTCCCTACCCCTGTGCTCCTCCCTTCACCTGTGGTCCTCCTCAACCCTGTGCTCCTCCTCCACCTGTGCTACACCTTCACCCTGTGCTACTCCTTCCCCTGTGGTCCTCCTCAACCCTGTGCTCCTCCTTCACCCTGGTCCTCAACCCTGTGCTCCTCCTCCACCTGTGCTACACCTTCACCCTGTGGTCCTCCTCCCCTGTGCTCCTCCTCCTATGCTCCTCCTCCTCCTGCCCCTCCTCCCTCCTGTCTTCCCTCCTCCAACCCTTGTCTCCTACTGCTCCTCCTCTCCTATGCTCCTCCTCCTCCTGTGCTCCTCCCCTGTGCTCCTCCTCCTCCTTGCTCCTCCTTCCCTGTGCTCCTCCTCCCACCTGTGCTACACCTTCACCCCTGTGCTACTCCTTCCCCTGTGGTCCTCCTCACCCCTGTGCTCCTCCCTTCCCTGTGCTCCTCCCTACCCCTGTGCTCCTCCTTCACCTGTGGTCCTCCAACCCCTGTGGTCCTCCTCCCCTGTGCTACTCCTTCCCCTGTGGTCCTCCTACACCCTGCCTCTCCCCCTGTGGTCCTCCTCCCACCTCCTCCCTCAACCCTGTGCTCTCCCCTGTGCTACTCCTCCCACCTGTGCTCCTCCCTCCCCTGTGCTCCTCCTCACTCTGTGCTCCTCTTCCCCTGTGGTCCTCCCTATGCTCCTCCTCCTCCTGTGCTCCTTCCCCTGTGCTCCTCCTCAACCCTGTGCTCTCCTCCTCCTGTACTTCCCTTCACCCTGTGCCTCTCACCCTGTCCTCCCTGCCTTTCCTCCTCCTATGCTTCTCCTCCTGTGCTACACCTTCACCCTGTGCTCCTCCTACCCCTGTGCTCCTCCTCCCCTGTGGTCCTCCCCTCAGCCCTGTGCTCCTCCTCCTCCTGTGCTACCTTCACCCTGTGCTCCTCCTAC